GCTTGCGAAAAGCCGACAAATAATGAGCTCGAGATTCAGTTTGAGGAAAGAAAGGGGAAGCTGATTGTTTTACGGAATAATGCTAGCAGTAACCGTCTCGGTGAAGTGGTCGAGGGTGACGAGCTGGTCGGAATCAACAACAAGAGCGTTGTGGGAAAAGATGTGAACGAAGTTTATGCTTTGATCGACAAAATTCCGCCCGATGAGTCCCTACTGATGCGCTTCCGGGCTGCCTGCGTGCAGAATTATCACGGAACAATGGGACAACCAATTCATGAAACAACTCCACAGTCTGAGACGCCTAGCGGCGGAAACGGTGTGGATACAACAGAGCATTCGGTTGAAGAGTATGCGTCGGAACTTCGACAGAGCTTTTTGGCATCGCTGGAGAAGCAGAACCCTCGAAGTCCTAGCAACGTGGACAACTTGCTTCATGCTGGAGCGGTGTCGATGTATGGTGGCTGGAAACAACTGCTGCATATGCAAGCAGCACCGAATCTGTCATTGTTATGTGTGTGTCCATCGTATGCCGATGATGGCGAATATGTCCCTGATTCAGTATTGTTCTTTGGCATCGAATCACTGCCTGGAAAGCTGATTGTGTGGAAAGGAGTCCGCGATGGCGCGTACCATTCTTTTGAACTCATGCCGCTTCAAGTGCAAGACCCAGCAATCAAAAAGAAAGCGAACATTACCTCCATTGCTGGTGAAAGAGACTACCGTCAGCGAGCATTTTCAAGCAAGCGAGCTCTAGGTCACAACAGTCTGAACTCCCTGCTGTTTATCGGTGATACTGCTGGGAACATTGAACACTGGCGCTGTCAGGTTGTCGGAGACATTATCCATTTTACGATGATGAGTTCCAACCCCGTTGGCGACAATAATTCGCCCCCGTCACCAACTGAACACCCTGTACGTGAGCCAACTGGCTCATTTTGCCGGCGCGGATATGTTTCTACTGATCAAGCTGACACGATCGTGGCTGGCGGTATCAGTCACATCGAAGTGGATGATCCGAACCGTTTGGCAGTCATACACGCTGATCAACCCGAAGAACTTCATGTATTTGAAGCCGAGTCCGGGCTCGGAATCCTGCGGCCGGAACAATCGATTTCGTCGAACGGTAGAGGACACGTTTTGGGTTTCACGTGGTGCAATTCGCATGTGGAGTTTAATGTGGATGCGCTAGCGGTAAGATATGAATCCGCTACGGTAATTTATCAGTACGACACGAACTTACACCAATGGTATCAAATTGGAGACGATATCGTGAGCCCTCTACCTCTGTTCGATTGTACCCGAGACTCGTCGGCTCTGCTGATTGGTGGCGGTCATCTAAAGGATTCTCGACTGGATCAACCTTCATTCCAACCAATATCTAACGAAATGCCTGTGGTTATTGGCAAGTGGGATGAGCCTGGAAGTCTACTGCAACACTCAATGGACTGGAAAGCAGCCGAATCGCCACAGAAACTCCCGGTATGGCATCCCTACGTGCTTCTCACGACGATGTTTGGCATGCACGCGCGTGTCGGAGAGAAAGATACAGTACTAGCTGGAGACCGGACGTCCTATGCGTTTTCCAGAGCTTTCAAAGATGCCACTCAAATGTTGAAATTGCTGGCTAAAGTACTGGAGCACGAGCCATCCGTCCGTGCTAGCGCTTCGAGTGGAGTTCTCTCGTATACTGGTCCAGCACGTTCTAAAAGAACTGCTAGTAAAGAAAATGGACACGCTCGAATGCTGGAGTCTATCGGTCGATACTCGACTTCTATTCATCGAAGTGATCAAATTGACAAGGCGGAGAATCTCTTTGCCGCTCCAATGAGTAGAGGCAATCAGAAGAAGTATAGCTACGACGAGGAGGAGAGTTTTTTCGATGAGGACGACCAACGCACTCTTGCAGCAAGTGAAGCAGAGACAGTTCTGGCTGCCGTTGAATCTATGCTCTTGGGTAAGACGCATGTAGTACAAGGGAACGCATCCGTTTTGTTCGCCTCATTCAGTGAAGAGCACTTATTAGAGATGAAGGCGCTGCTGGGGTTTGTGGAAGCGATTCAGTCACTTGGCTTTGATTTGGATGCTTCAGCCGCAGATCTGGGGGCTAAACGCTTCTTTTCAATGCATCTATTTGCCAGTTCACTGCGGAGCGCTGTGCTTGCGCACACAGGCAGCAATGCTGACTGTACCGAAAGCAACCCGCAAACCGGAGAGTGTGAGGCCCTTTCAGGCAAACTGAAGTGGAAAAATACATACAGCGAGCGAGAAATCTGCTTCTGGCAACCAAGTTTGGAGGAGACCCCGTCGTCAGGACTGTTGTGGGCTTTACATTCGGATGCACAGCAGTTTTTGTGGGAGCATTGCATTCAGCCCAGCATGCTATGGGACGATATTCGTCCTCTATGGTTGGGACTCTGGATCAAGGATGTGAAGGACCTGCGAGGGATAGTGGAAAGGTTGGCTTTAAGTGGTTATACTGCCAACCAACGTTGTGTTCGTGTCTCTAATGGTTGTGTTGAGTGATCAGGTTTGCAAAGGTCTCCTACGCTCGGACCAAAGACGCGATGGATGTGTGTCTGCTCTACGTGGCATTGGGCAAGAAAAAAGTACTCAGTGCATTAGCAAAGCTGACTCAGTCCGAATCGAACAAGGTGAGAATATCTATGTTACCATAATAATTTGTTCTTGATTGTTTTATCTAATGTACTGTGCGTGCATGATTGTAGACGCTGGCCTCGTTCTTGAATAATGATTTTTCTGAAAAGCGCTGGAGCAATGCTGCAGTGAAAAATGCGTATTCTCTTCTTAGCAAGAAGAAATACGAGCCTGCAGCGGCATTCTTCCTTCTGAGTGAACCTCCGCGGATTCAAGATGCGATTCGAGTTCTTTCGATGCGGCTTAGAGATCCAAGTTTGGCACTGGTGATTGCTAGACTTGTGGAATATGAAACAGACAAGCTCCAACATGACTTCACAACGAACCAGGCCGGAATTACTCCGGCTGGGAACATCACAAAGCAATTGCTGGAGCAAGAGATAATACCTCTGTTCCGCCGAAAGCATGAGGTATGGCTGGAAAGCTGTGCGTTGTGGTGGCTTGAAGAATTCGAACAAGCGTGGGCTGTGCTTCTCCCGCAATTCCAAGACGTGGATGTTTGTGGAGGCAATGAATTGACCCTTCCTACCAAGAACGACCTCGTTTCAAGTGTGTTGCGAGCTACTCACTTCTACGTCAACCTCACGTCACTCACGGTCTACTTCCAGCATCTTCACTCCAGTGTCAACTCTTCGTTGCTCAGTTGGGCGAAGAAGAAAATGCAACAGAAAGCGTATCCTGACCTCCCAACATCCCCAGCGCCAACATCTTCAGGCAAGAGGCGTCTACAGCTTGCGTCGACAGCAGATATCGAGCACGCGTTTTCGTTTGCAGCCTATGTATGCAAACGAAGTGGATTGAGCGATACCGCTCTCGTCGAGATGCTCCAAGCTCGACATTTAGTGAACCTCCATGCACGTTTCGAGATCTCGACAGTCGAAGCTGGAAGCGACCAGATCAGTGAGTTACCGATAGACGAAGAGCAGGACTATGCATCGGGAAGTCCTACGTCTCCTCGGTTCCAGTCGTCACTTAAAAACTGGAGACGAGGAAGTACGCTGTCGTGTATTACGTCACCGATTTCAAGCAAGTCCCCTCGACAACGGACTTGGGGTGTGTCCCAGAGACGAATGAGCTTCATGGGTGACTTTAGTCCCCCAATGCTGGCGGGGAAAAAGCAGCGCAATCGCGCAAACTCCTTTTCGTGGTCAAAGGCGTTGCAATCTGAGAAGCCCATTCCGACAGCACCGTGGCTGAAAGCTCAGATCGCTGATATCGAGTGTAGACGATGGGCTTCGTCTGCCTTTGTAGGGAAGATGATTGGTATTCGAGTAGCTCGTGAGATGATCAGCCACTTCCGCGCCGAATTGGACACGTGGTTTCGACATGGAGATGACGTCGACTCTCCTACACACGCTGTGACGATCTCAACTTCTCCTGGACAACGGCATTACCATCGCGTTAAGCTTCACAGAGAGTTTTTGGATGAGTTGTGTACTCCACTTTGCGAGCAGTTCCAGGTGGACCGCAACTACGTTTACGAAGCTGCACTCGCAGTGATGCATCCGCATGCGTATCTCCATATCGTCGAAGTTTGTTTCCTGTTGTCGGAACTTGGCAGAGTGTCGACTTTGCGCAAGTGGGTTGAGTATGTGTCGTTGTCGATGCTGCATTCGTGCTCAACGTTTGCATCGTGCAGCATTGCCGAGGACGTATATCGTGACTGGGAGGGCCTGACAATCCAGCTGTGCTATATTCTGAATCTCGACGCGCAGAAACAGATAACTATTCCGTCTCAAGTGATCGCGCACATTAGTGTTGCTGTTCGTACAGGAATCATTTTCTTGGGCTGGGCGCGACAACGATCTGATATTGTTCGACAAGCAGTCACATTGCCATTCTATACTTTTGGTACGGCCAATGGCGAATCGGAATCGACTCCCTCGCTGAGCTCTTTTGCATTTGAGAAGAACTTGCGGTTGCTTTGCCGGTTGTTGCAGAAATCTACGACAAGCACGAATGAGTTGCGTAAAAGTCGGATATTCGAAGGAAATCTGGGCTACACTTTCCTAGGCGCTGTTGCCGCCGGTCAAGCTGGTGAAGACAGTATTTCACTGTTGTCGTGGGGAGGAATCGACAACGCAGCAAGCCATAACCAGTTCAAGATTCGCAAGATGTACACTCTGATTCTTATGGTGTCTGTGCTCCGGACACTGTATGCTCGAGCGACTGTTTTCCTCAGCACGTACCAGAACGATATTGACTCTAACAACGAGGCAGGCATGGAAACAGATATTGCAAGTTCGTTGTTTACTCCACAGAAACTGTGGAAAGCACTGGGCGAAGGCCCGTTAGAAGGACTGAAGCGATGGTACGCGCTGATCGAGTCTCATTTGCGATGCGAGTTTGACTACTCCGTGAAAGAAGTGCCGTGTCTTTGTGGTCTCTACAGCCTGGACACTGCAGCCTTTGAAGAAGCTGCTGCAAATGGTTGGAAGGAGATAGATGACGGTGAAAATCCCGAAAGCTCTATTCACAATGGCACCGGAAATGGGAACGGAACTGCTGATTCTGTCGTGAGGAATAACGCCACCGCTGTATCTCCGATTGAATCTGATAATGAAATCGAAAACGAGAGTCCGGGCAGCTTGCAGGCTTTTCTTCACGATATTGGAATGTGTTTTGAGATGCATACGGCGCTGGTTAACGCAAGTGATGACTACGTGCTGCTCCTGATGCAGAATGCAGATGTCGGAGTTCAAACAACCTTACGACGATTCCGCATCGATCCTCGGGTGTACGTGAAGAGCTTTGTGCTTCGGGATGCATTCGCGTGGTTCGCCCACCACGATATCTTTAAAGCAGATACAGCAGCTGACACTATCGCCCAAATTCATGCGTTTCTAAGTCGCTGTTGCAAGCAGCGTAAACTGCGATTGCTGGTCGCCCACCGCGGTGAAGATTCACAAATGTTCCCGTTGGATCATCATCACGCACGTCCACACCATGACAGTGACGCTGATACCCACTCGGTCACGAGTGAACTTTCATTGCCGCGATCACGATTTACGAGTGCAGTTGGGAGTGATATGCCCACCTCGGAATCTAGCGACAAGGGAACCTTGCCTAAGGCGTTCTACTTGCAGTCTATGATGTTCGTGGACCCCTGGGAAGTCGAGGCGGAGTGGAATGTGCGCCGATACATGCACAATGGGCAATCTCCACTACATGTGGAGCTTGGATGGGACCGCTTGAGTCCGATCTGCTCGGAGACGTGCGATGAGATTGTCGAATCGGCATTTGAAGCAAATCCTGATCTCGTGGCTATGTGGAAAACCACAGGAGGTGAGGGCTGGCTTGTTACTGCTATTACTCAGTACCGTTTAGACGGACTCCATTCGTATCGCACACTCCACCAGCATATTCAACGTGGCCTTGCTGGCAAAGAGGAGCCGAGAGTTCCACTTCTGGTTGAGATATATTCGCGTAGTCAACGCAATGCGATGTTTGAAGTAGCAGGCTTACCTCACCGATTTGTTGGAGTTATCACAGTGGAGCTGGTGGAAGCGAAGGATTTGATTGCGTGCAGCTGGATAGGAAAATGGAGCAACGCGTACGTGTTCTTGGAGCTGTGTCATGCTAAAGACAAACCACGCGAAACAGCGGAAGAGTGGAGTTTACAAACCTATCGAAGCCCAGTCGGTGAAGGTGGAGTTAACCCTCGGTGGAATCTAGAAGAAAACAAATTCGCTTTCCGGTTCGCTATCCCCACCCACGGCAAACACACTGCTCGTCCGACCAGAAACGTTCATTTCTCTAATGGTGGGGGAAATAGCCGCAATGTGGATGTACAGTCGAGTCACTTGGCCTCGCAATTGTGGAATGCCGATGTCAATGATCAGACTCGAGAATCCGTGGATGCTCTCGAGAAGCTGCTTCCTTCGGTGTTTTCAGGTCCACCAGCAATGCTGCGGTGCACCGTATACCAGAAGAACAAAGTTTTGAGCCATCAGTTCATGGGTAGAACAAAGGTGAGTACCATCAGCATTCTTGCATAGCGTGGTTAACTAAACTCAACTGCTTTGTGTCGGTGTAGGTCCCTCTGGATGAACTCACTTCCGGCAATCCTATGGACTACTGGCTGCCACTTGAAGACACAACGAGCGGGTCGTTGCACGTGAGGATCTCGTTGTCTTTCCAGCTCATGTGCTCATCCATGGCTGGACAGTCCGATTCAAAGGTTTTGCGGTGAGGTCGCTTGGTTATGAAAGTATTTGAAGCTGACTGTGCGATTACCACTGCAGCCTTCAACTTAAAGGCCAGCATAGCAAACTGAGTTGTATTCACAGATTCACGGACATATCGATTTCGTTGTACTACAGTGCGGTACTCACATGCCATTGACCTACGATGACACAAATTTATCTAGCTGGCGGGTTCATGTATCGTACGTTTCCATCTTCTGCGCCTCTGGTGACGATCGCAAAGCCGTCCTTGACTGTGTTGAAGTCATTCTTGGTGCTGATGCTAGTGTCCTTGTAAATCGCCTTCTGACAGGTCGAGGACGGTGTGACTGTAACCTCAACGGTGGTGATAGCAGCCAAATCACCCACACACTTGGGAAGGTCGTCCTGTGTGGCACCGAAGAACTCGCGTACGGGTGTACTGAAATTCGTGAACACTCCATTTTGCAACGATGACAACAACTGGCACGAGATGAAGGCTGAAGCAACTTCTGTTGTCTTCCCCTTCATCTCCGAGGTCTGGTCGCACGCGACCAAGTCGTTCACCAAAGTGTTGATGCCAGCAGCATCCTCAAACGTGCTCTTAGCCGTAGCGTATGAGATCGCACCGGTGGCACTCGTTTTAGTGCTGCACTGCAGAGACGATTTCTTGAGCATATTCTGGAGGAACGGGCCGATCTCGTACTGGACAGCGAAGGAGTTCATGCTCTTAAAACTGGTGCCGACGTTCTTGAAAAACGCACCGAGATCGGCGTGTTTTTCGACAGTTGTGCTCTTGATTTTCATGGGGATCGTAGCAGTCGGAGAAATCTTCACGTTGCCATTTCCTTTACAGGATTCGGTCAGGGGAATGCTCTGGTTGCAGCTCTGGAAGAATTGATACACCATATCTATAGTTGCGCTACTCAATCAAACACACGGTCAGTATTACATACACAGCACAAAAGCTCTAGAAAAACGTACTAGTGACTGAGGAAGATTGGGTCAAAAGCAGCAGCACGGGTCTCATACACGCCCCCAAGAATACTGTGCAGAGTCATCTGAATAGAGTTCTGGACTTCCTTGCGCAGTGTATCCATCGTGGAGGCACCGCTACTGGTTGTGCCGTTGGCTTCGCTGGCATGTCGAATTAAATCTGTGAAAGTGGTGGGGCCGAATTCCAACGACGAATCGCCGATATCCCAGTCTCCTCGTGGTATGCACTTCTCGCATTTTTTGCTGTTTGTACAGGCATGTGCTGCCACGCTGGAGTTCGCGCAGTTTCCGCTTGGAATGGCCTCACCGTTCACGACATACGCTCCAGCCATGATTTTGGGGCCCTTGCAGCCTCCGAGATCCTCCAGAATCGGCGAGCATCCCACAATACCGTTGCATTCCGTGGTCGTCGTGATGCGTTTGGCCGAGTCTTCGAAGATATCCCAGTACGGAAGTGTCAGGTCGCTGAAACTCGTGTCCAGCGAGCGCAACATGTTCTCGTAGCCGAGTAGGTACTTGCGGTACCACGCCGGTGCTCCACAAGTGCCTACGACCTGATCCAGACTGCCTGAGTCCATATAAACCTGCGTGAAGAGCATGTGATTCCCCGACGTCATGGCCTTCTCCAAAGCGCTCAGATACAGTTCTGCAGAACATCAGTCGGTCACAGTATAAGGTACTACATCCAGCACCATCACAACCTTGGAGCACGCACCTCTCTCATCGTTGCTATATGCCGCCCAGCTCTTTCGCACTCGCGTGGCTTTCGCGTTCGCCGTCGCTGCCAGCACAGCAAGCACCAGCAGCACGCGCACAACCATCACTTGGAGTCGCCTCGGTATTCGACAAAGAGCATCTGACTCTTTGACTGGCTATCTGTACCCTGACTTTGGTACATAATGTATTGTACATCATATTGTGGAAACGATGTGTAACGCCTCTCTACCCCATCGAAAAGACTGGTGCCAATTGTGCGAAGAGCTCAGTTGGATATCTTTCCACGTGTGCGCACTTGAGAGCAACATGACGACTACGTTCGACGACCGCGCGGCACTGGAGGAGGCAATCGAGTCGTGCTCGGTCACTGTGCGTGAGCTGCAGGAGAAGATGCGCAACAAAGACGACTCTGTTGCCATGGAGGACATCAAGAAGGAGGTCAAGAAGCTCGTGGATCTGCGCAAGGAGCTCCAGGACTGGACGCAGAAAGAGGAGCAAGAAGAAAACAACCAGGACGAAGAAGAGACTCCTGAGACGATCGATGCTGAGGAGGAGCTGGAGGAGCGCGCATCTGATCTCGAGAGCCGTGTGGCCAAGACCGACGACAAGTTGACGACGCTGGAGACCGAAGTGACGCAGATTGAACGCACGAAGAAGGCCATGAAGTATCTTGAAGAGCATGAGACCAAGGAGACAGTGGTGGAGAATGTGGAGACAGAAACTGTCGTGACGAAGAGCTCCAAGAAGAACAAGAAGAAAAACAAAAAGAACAAGCAAAAATCTGAAGAGGAGACGCAGTCGGTTTCCTTAGATACGGAGCAGGTTGCTGAGCTGATGACGCAGCTTGAGGCGGAGCGTGTGAAGGTGCAGGAGGCCAATCAAACGGTCGAGAAGCTGCAGAAGTCGGTGGAGACGTTGGCGCAGGAGAAGAGCGAAGCTGTTGCCAAGTTGACGGCGGAGCTCGAGACCGAACGCTCTAAGGGTGAGCAGGCCAGTCAGAAGAGCCAGGAGATGCAGAAACTGGAGCAGGACCTGCGTGATGCACAGGATAAACTGCAGCAGGAGGTTGCTACTATTAAACAGGAGAAGGATGAGGCTGTTGCTAAGCTGACGGAGGAGCTCGAGAAGGAGCGCTCCAAGGTGGAACAGGCCAGTCAGTCAAGCCAGGAGACTGAGTCCAAGCTGGAAAAGTCGGTCGCTGCTCTTACAAAGGAGAAGTCAGAGCTAGAGAGTAAGCTGCAGGCTGCAGAGGACGCCACTAAGGCTGCGCGTGACGAGTTGGAGGCCAAGATTCAAGCCGCGGATGCTGCTGCTAAGACCACGCGTGACGAACTGGAAGCGAAGCTTCATGCTGCGGAAGGCATGACCAAATCGACTCGCGAGGAGCTTGAAAAGCTGCAGACTGAACTGTCAGAGATTAAGGACGAGAAGGAGACGCGAGAGACTCACCTGGGCAAACTGTGGAAGAATATCGAGGATCTTCAGCTGGCGAACAAGGAGCTCACGGAGAAGAACGCGTCGATCGAGGCTGATGCCAAGGCTATGCGTGCTGAGGCCGAGAAGACTATCGCTGAGCACTCGTCGTACGAGGACAAGACCGAGACGTTCACTGCTGAGATCGAGGCTGCCAAAGCGGAGCTTGAGGCGTCCAAGACTGAGGTGGAGAAGCTGACGAGCGAATTGAGCGCATCCAAGTCGAGCTCTGACGAGCGTATTCAGACACTGGAGAAGGAGCTGGAAGCTGCTAAGAAGAACGCACAGGAAGTCTCTGCTGAGCTGGAATCTCTGCGTACGTCGAGTCAGGAGTCAGAGTCGAAGGTTGCGAGCTCAGACGAGCGTATTCAGACGCTCGAGAAGGAACTTGGATCAGCGAAGCAGAGCGTCCAAGCGGTGTCATCTGAGCGGGATGCACTGCGCTCGTCGATTGAGGGGTCTGAGCGTACACACAAGGAGGAAATCGAGAAACTCACGGCGCAGATCTCTGAGCTACAGTCCACTGAAGGCCAGAGTAGCGAGCTGGCTGAGGAGCTCAAGAAGGCCCAGGAGGCTGCCAAGGCTGCCATCGCCGACAAGGAGGAGGTCGGTCGTCAACTGCTCGAGATGAAGGATAATGTGATCCAGTTGAAGCTCGAAAGCGAGAAGGCTCTAAGTCAGGCATCGGAGAACGGCGCGCAGCTGAAGAAGCTATTGGTGGACTTGGAGGCTCGTACGGCTGAAGCGAAGCAGATGAAGGCTCTGTACGACGATCTGGTATCGCAGCGTACGAACGCTGAAGACCAGCTGCAGGATCTGCGTGGTTTAGCCGCTACGAACGAGGAAATGCTTAAGAAGGCCCGTGCATCTCTGCTTGATGCGAACGAGGAGTTGAAGGAGGCTCGCGCTAACTCGTTGAAGTGGAAAAACTCGGCCCAAGCGGCCAAGACGCTGATGAACGCCAAGATCGCGGACGCTGAGAGTGCTAGCAAGCAGCTCAAGAAGGCGCGTGCCGATGCGGCGTCAGCTAGTGCGGCTCGTTCCCAGCTAACTTCCAGCCTTGAGGCTAAGAAGAAGAAGGTGGCGAAGACCAAGCAGGAGCTTGCTACAGTCCGTGCTGAACTTGTCAAGGCTTTGGAGGCTATGGAGACCGAGCGCACGCAGTCCAAACAGGCACAGGCCGCACAAGTTGCCAAGCTGCGTGAGATCTCTGAGCAGACAGTGGCTCAGCTTAATAGCCAGGTCCAGTCGTACCGCATGATGCTTGTGGTTCTTCTCCCGATCCTCATTGCTGTGGTCGTGTACGCGATCTCGCAATAAATCAAGTAGTAGGTGGCATTCTGGTAAATGAAGGGGCAAGCACTTATCTTTACCAAAATGTTGTGATTGATAATTATTGTAAAAGACAGCAGCAACACAACGACAAGTTTGTATGATGGAAACACCAACTTGTTGCTTCCAACGAGTCGGATGCAAATGGTGAAGTACAGTGCAGGGTTCTTGAAGCGCAGCGAAATGGCTACACTGCAGAAACGACACGGGAAGATCGCGACATAGTTTATCCAAGTGTAACGTCGTGTAGTTGCCGGTCGGAATAGAAATTCTTTTTTTTCGTTGCCAGCGTCGGACCAAGCACTGACACCAACGAGGACAACAACCAGTTCCTAGTAGGAACCTCCTACACGTATGCTATACACCGAGGATCTAATTCATAGAATGCATGTACCAGAGCGTGAAGGTTTCTGTCTTCGTGACGAAAACCCATAATGTACCGTTTTTATGGTACCTGACCTTTCTGCCCACCTGTCGTCAGCGGTGCTATTGGCTCTCATGATTTCTACCAATCCTGATCGGTCTCGAACTGCTATCCCGTCCACGCGGCACAGCTCGCGCCACAGCGCAAGATGATGAAGGAGACCGAGGCCGCGCTCGCGGCCAACGGCGGCGCCACGCTGTCCGGTGCGTTCCCCCGTCTGCGTCGTCGCTCGTTCCTCTTTCTGTTGATGCGCAGAAAGCCCGAGTTTCCTCCGTTTAGCTCACGTCCGGCCCTCAAATTGTCGTGTAATTGTGTTCCATCAGGCCCAGACGCGCAACGCCTCGAGACGGACAAGCGCGAGCTCATCGAGAAGCTCAAGAAGGCGGTGGCGGCTGGCAAAGCCATGAAGAAGCAGCTGGAGCAGCATCAGGAGGACAAAACGACGCTAAAGCGGCAGCTCGAGGACAAGGAAGGTGAGCTCATGCTCGCCATGTCCAAGGTAGAGGCGTTCCAGGTAGAGCTCCAGGCCCAGCAGCAGGACAAGGACGAGCTGCAGAAGACCGCAGCACAGGAAGAAGCGAGAGTGATGGTCTTTCAAGAGGAGAAGAATCGACTAACTGACCAGGTGGCGGCCATGCTGGAGGACAAGCAACAGCGCGAGCGGGAGACCCAACAGCTCGTGGATGAGAACCACACACTACAGAGTAAAGTAGACGATCTCATGCAGCAGGTTCAAGGTGCTAGAGAGCAACGAGAAGACGTCGAACAGATGTACTTGGAGGTGGCGTCCAAGTTAAACCAGGCGTTGAGGGACAATGACGAGCTGAAGAAAACTAATTCGTCGGGAGACCGTATAACTGAGCTGGAGACACAGCTTAAGGCACTGGAGAGCAATGCCGAGCAGTTCGAACAGGATAAGCTACAGCTTACACAGCAGATCGAGGCGCTTACTGCGTCCAATGACAGGGTAACAGCAGAGCTGGCTGAGGTCGCAGATATCCGCGATAAGCTGCTGGTACACGTTGGTATCGACCTGACGTTCGAGAGCATCGAGTCGCTGCTTGATACGAAGAACAAGGAGATTCAGATGCTCACGGAACAGCTCTCGGCCGCTGAGGCTCCTCAAGAACAGGCTATTCGTGAGGCGGTAAGTGCTGCTGTTGCTGAGGCAGAAAGCCTGCAGTCGAAGTTGGAGACACTACAGACAGAGTATGATGCTTTGAGTAGCGAAAAGACTGAGCAGGAGAAGACGGTGGAGGAGCTTCGTGCGGAGTTGGAACGTGTCGCTGAGGAGCACTCAGCGTCGCTAGGAGAACAGCGACGAGCGTGTGAGGAACAGCGAGTGGAGATTGACCAGTTAACAGCACAATTGGAAGATGCTAAGATGCAGAAGCAGCAATTTAGCAACGGTTTCTTTATGATTAAGGCCAAGATCGAAGGACTGGTTGTTACGCTACAGATAGACAAGCCCATGTCCACAGAATCTGATGCGGAGAGCCCACGGTTAGAGGAACTGGAGGCGCATCTGGATCACATTGAGAAGCAGCTTGTTGGTGCTGCGAAACCAGATATGAATCATCTTGAAAGCGAGTCAAAAACTCTTCAGGAACGGATACACAAGTACGAGGAGGAGAACCAACTTCTGACTGCCAAACTTGAAGAATGTGAAGCTGCGTTGAAGGCTCGTGCCAATGAAATGGAGAAGTTTGCAGCGAAGGCAAGAACTCTCAGTTCTGACTCCGAGAAGTGCGTATCCTCGGGTGAAAATGCTGCATGCAATGGTGACACACCTGAAAGCTCTAACGGAGACGCTAACGACCTCGAGCTGGAAGCTACGAGGGCCCAATTACACGCAGTCGAGGCAGAAATGGCAGCCTGCAAAGCTGAGAACTTGCGGATGATCTTCGAAGTAGCAAAAACAGCCGACAGTGTCGCGAAACTCAAGCAAGATCATGAAGAATTGCTGGTGACGCACTCAAAGACAGCGTCTGAGTTGAATACGGCTCAAGTGCAGCTCGAATCACTGGAATCTGCCAACAAGACGCTCGAATCGGACTTAAAGCGAGCATCTGAGACTCTACGGTGCAATCTCGAGGCTTTCGCGATGCAAAAGGAGGATTTCCAGGCCATCATTGCCAATTTGAATACTGCTGTACTCACGACCGAGCAGGAAAACCACAAGATTAAGCGCGACTTGGAGGATATCAAGACCGAGAACGACGTGTTGGAAGAGCGGATCAGTGAGTTACACGCAGTTGCAGACAGCAAAACGGAGCCAGACGAGTCGCAAGAGAAAGACCGAGAGGTTGAAGAACTTCGCTCTTCATTAGTCCAGGCCAAGGTGAACTTTTTGGAGCAAAAGCAGCAGCTCACAGCGCTGGAGAAGAAGCTGGTGGAGGTGTCCAAGTCAAGTGGTCCTGCTTGTACCGTAAATAACGCAGCGTTAGACGCCGAGCGACGAGAGTTTGAGGCTGCGTTGATCGAGATGATCGAGATGGAGAAGAAGCTCCAAGTGGCTTATGAAGCCAAGCAGGGACTGGAGTCTACACTGCAAGAGCGCATGGAGGCGAAGGCGGATCTTGAAGGCCGGCTATCGATTGCTGAGGACAAGATCGCAGAGCTGGAGCAACAGCTGGAGCAGAAGGTTGCTCTCATTGCCACGATCGAAGAGCAGCTTCGACAAGTCGAAGAAGAACGGGAAAAACTGGCGGACGAGTTTGCCAAGACGAAATCGAAACTGGAACGCAGCAGAGGCAAGTTGGAGGAGAAGGCCATCGAGTTTGAGGCGTTTAAAACAACGACAAACATGCTCAAGGATGAACGCAGTAGATTATTCAACGAGATTTCGCTGCTGAAGGACAAGATCGCCAAGTCTGAGGCTCAAAAGGCAGAGATGGCTGACTCCCAGGAGCTGGCTAATGAAGAGCTGGAGGAGCAGTTGAACGAACTGGCTGATAAGATTGCAGAGATCGAGGCAGAGAAGCAGGATCTTCGTGCGAGGCTCGAGGAGACGGTGTATCGCTCCGAAGAGGATATCCATCAGCTTAGAGAGCGTTTGTACATGCTTGAAGAAGAGAAATCGGGGCTGGATGACGAAAACTTCAAGCTGGAGAGGACGATTGAGCATCTCGAGTCCAAGCTGGACTCTCTGGAAGAGCAGAAGACGCAGCTCGAAGCAGCAAACGCGTCGAGCTCGGAACAACTAAATCTTTTGGAAGAGAAGATGGACAGAGCGACAAGCGAAATCGCGACGTTGTCAGCAGAGAAGAACAGCTTAATGGATTTGCAGCAGTCACTCGAGCTGAATGTGTCGCGTTTGGAAGATGATAAGGTCAAACTGGAGCAAACGTTGGAGGAAACGACGTCGAAGTTGCGTGACGAACTGGAGCTGGTTACAGATCAAGTGAAAGCTCTGCAAACACAGCTTGAGCAAAGCGTTGCTGAGAAAGATGAGCTTACAGCGTCATTATCGGAGCTGCGAGAGCATGCTGAAGCGGACAAGTTGGCGAGCGAGGACGTGGCTGCTAGGTTGGAATCTCAAGTCACAGAGAACCAAACGCTAGAGAACAAGATTTCAGTGTTGAAGCAGATGGCGGAGAAGGCGTTGCAGTCATTGCAAGCTGGCCGTGACGAGCTGTCTGAGGCTGAATCTCGCGCTGCTGTTCTGGTGGAAGAGCGTGATGCTGTCAAGATAGTATTGCAGGAAAAACAGGCTGCGTACGAGGAGTTGACCGCTCAACGCGAGAGATTACAGGAACAAGTCGAAGAGCTTAAGAGTAAACTCCAGCGTACGCAGGAGAAGCATGCAGAGGAAACTGGCGCAGCGGAGGAGACGATTCGTGCGTTAAAGGATGTCGAGACGACGCTGACGGAGTCCCTGGAGTCTGTTAAGAGGGATCTGGCTGAAGCTGAGTCTTGTGTGATGGTGTTGGTGGAGGAGCGCGATGCGGCACGAAAAGATCTGACGGCGAAGGACCTCAAGATTGAGGTGATGACTTCTCAGCAAGGAGAGCTGGAGCTTGCGGCTCAGAAGCTGGAGAGTGAGCTTAACACGCTGCGGAGTAAAAGCTCAGCCGACGCTGAAGCGAGCCAAGAGATCGTTCGTGATCTTGAAGAGTCCAAGACTCAAGCAGAGGACACGGTTAACAGCCTGAAGGAGTCGTATTCTCAAGCTCAAGTTTCTCTACAGACGATCCAGGAGCAGCTAGCTGAGTCGGAGTTGCGGGTTGCAGCACTCGAGAAGGAACGTGATGCTACCCGAACGTCTCTGAACGAACAGGAGTCGACACACGAGACGCTGAGTGCGCTTCAAGAGGACCTGCAAAAGAAGGTTGATGCCTTGGAGACGGAGTTGAAGGAGCTGCGCGAATCCAGCTCGGCAGAGTTAGCTGCTGCGAATGAGACCATCACAAGTCTGAAGATTGCAGAGGCTGAAGAATCAGAAACGTTAGCATCTCTTCGTCAGGAGCTCGCAGAGGCTGAGGGGTGTGTGATGGTGCTAGTTGAAGAGCGTGATGCAGCCAAGAAGACTCTGAGCAAGAGAGAGCTGACTCTGGAGGTTCTGAGCTCGGAACATGGCGAGCTGCAGCTTAAGAGTCAATCGGTGACCACGGAGTTGGAAGCGCTCCGCAATAAAAGTGTAGCGGATGCTCAAGCTGCAGAAGAGACTGTGCAGGCGTTGAAACAGGAAGTGAAGAGCGTGACAGAGGCGTTAGAGTCAGCTCAGAATGAGTTGTCGTCGTCCGAGACACGAGTGAGTTCCCTGACTGCTGAATGTGATGCCGTGACAAAGGCGCTGAGTGAATTAGAGGCTGCACACGAGACTTTGAGAGATCAAAAAGAGGAATTGCGAGAGCGTATCGAGAGTCTGGAGACTGAGAAAAACGACTTGATAAGTCAACACTCGAGTGCGTTTGCAGCTGCCGAAGAGACGATCCGTACACTGCAGACGTCAGAAGCTGAGGTGAAGGAATGCTTAGAGTCAGTTCGAAAAGAATTGTCCGAGGCAGAGACTCGTGTGGAGTCTTTGACTGGAGGATTGAGGGACAAAGATGGCATTGTGAGTAAGCTGACATCAGAAACTGAAGGGTTCCAAGAGCGTATCCAGACGTTGGAAGGCGAGCTACAGGAGCTGCAAAGCCAGCGTGAAGCCGAGACTGAGGCATCAGAGGAGACAATTCGCAGCCTGAA